GAGAATGCAGAATGGTAAGTGCAATGCAGTTTTTCTTGCATCGTTTTCAAGTTACAAGTAAATAAAATGAACTTTTTTTACTTTTTGATTACATATAGTATGATACTCGAAGAAGCCAAATGGAGTAGAGGTGACCGAGGCAGGCCAGCGAGGGCCCACAAGATAAAGGTCATGGCGGTTATTACACAATCTTCCAATATTGAAAACTTTCTTGATAAAATCCAAAACACTTATCAACGGCTGGAGGAGTGAACCGCCGTAACTAAAAATATCTCACTTAAGCAGCATATGCACTGTTTAAATTTTCTCTTGTTGAGTTTGTGTTTTTGACAAATAAATAAGTTTCAGTTGTTATTAATACTTGTGTTCTCCAGTTGTGAGTTGTTTCCAAATTTAAGCATCTGATTTTTGAGAAATTTTCATCATTTTTTTATGGCAATAGACGTACCATAAACAACTTCGGTATATCCTGACGCTTTGAAAGATCCTATACGATTATTAGCATATTGTAAACGCACCCCCTACATGGAATGTTCGTTGCGCAAATCACCTTTATCAACAGGGAAGGTCTGGACGAATAGATAAGGTCGAAATGTCATGATATCATGTGCGCCAAAAATGAAGAACGTGATTCAAGTTTTGACGTGAATTCTTTGCCAACATTTCTATTATTTTTTTCATTGTGTTTATTTATTACGATTATACACCCAAAATTACGGCATAGTGTAAAACATGGACTGGACTCTTGGACCCTTTGACCCTGGACTCTTGGACTATTTGTTGGACCTACTATTGAACCATCATATTTCTTGCCACTATTAGAAAATATAGTCAGTGGTCTTTGCATTTTCTATAGGGTGTACGATTTTTATTTTGTTGCCKWATGGCCGCTTTCAAGTAATTTCTCAATGAATGAAACATGTTAAAAAGGTACTGACTGCTATTGAATGCAAAATAATTCGTCTTTAAAGGAAAAACAACTTGCTTTTCTTTTCTCTTAAAAAAAGAATTTTTTGTTTTACTCTATTGGTTTCGCTTTTCACTTTACTTAAAAAAGTAAAGGCAATGCTATTGGAGATACAATGAAATAAACCTTCGTCAATGCTCAGAGTCAGCTAGATCGGGATGATTGCCTTATAGATAAGATAACATTTTAAAATACAAATAAGCATAAGAAATATATGTTTTGCTAGAATCAAAGTAGTGATCATTAAAAATATGCAGCCCGGCATCTATATACAAATAACGCCTTTTCGGCAACTTGCTTTGCATCTTATCAGCATTTAGCTTGGAGACACCGGACATCTAGTCATTACATAAGGGGTTCTTTTCTGACAGCATCATTGATGTCTTAGTTAATTATACTTTTATGGGTGTACATTTACATCGCCAGAAACATCCCTCTCGAACAAACCCTAAATTAGAATAAAAAAAGAACGGAAATTTGAAGCTATAGCGAGAGTTACACCACAGTGCTACACTGCTGTGTG